TTGGTCCAATACACATTTTGAGTTGCATGCACACTGAATGCTAGTATCTTACATTTCACTTTAATGTCTTATAAACTGCCTTCATCCAAGTTTCCTTTTCAACAGCGATAAAACTGAGTGGATGTCTGGATTCCCTCACAAAGATGATCTTTCTTCCAAAAAGGACATGTTCTCTGTCAGAAGACTTTGGTTACTTAGGGACCTAATCCTGTGGCAAGCTAACAGCACAAAGCATTTCTTCTTTCTTCTCACCTGAGTAGGATACCAACCCGACAAGCAGACTGTTAGCAGAAAGCTAATATTATCAGTTCAGCAAGTAGAGATTTACCTTGTTATCAATTACGCACCCAACAAACCCAAACCAACCTAAAAAATGCATGTAAACACTAGGGCTGTAGCGAAGCCTCGACGAAGTCGACGGCTCGATTCTAAAAATTTGTCGACGTCAGATCCGGAAGTCGACGCACCGCGCCCACTTGTTGCATCCCCAGGAGTTTGTAAATAGAGGAGGAATCTGCCTGTTCTTCCTCTAGTTCGCCCTCTTCTCCGCCTTCACTAACATCTCCGCCAAATACCGAAGACCCGGAACAACGTCCGTCCACTACTAGATTATTTTCCTGTTTTGCCCCTTCGTCTCCCGGCAACGGACAACAACTTCCGGGGTCAGATGCGCTGCTTCGTGTCTATCGCAGATGTAGAAAATCACCGGGAGCGCTTCTCCCTTAATAAAGGAGCTTCTTTCAGACATTAGGAGAGCTGTTTTGGTGGTAGCAGTCTCTCCTCCGTGCTGGTCTGTTTGCTGCTGGGTGTTTTTGGTTTATTTAAACTTGGTAACTTGAACTTAATGTTGGTAAAGCTACTGTTAGCATCTTCGCTAACAGCTTCTTGCGTTGGGATAAGCTGTTACGTTTTGGTTTAGAGTTAATCTTTTTTGTGGTGTAGATCTCCCTTTTATTACATTTAGAGTGTTGTGGGTTTTCGGTTTAGTGTAAAATACCACCTGAGTTTGGTTTAACCCGTAAGACCACTCGCCTCACGCACATAAGTGACCAAAACAAAGCAGCATGGAGACACTCCATCTTCTACCACCTCTCAGGCAGCAGCCTGCACTCCCAAGTTCTACACGTCATCAGAACATAACCAACCAACACAATAAACGCAGTGTTATACAAAATGGAAGGCCTGTAGTGTTTATTCTCTTACAGTAAGAATTTATCAATTTTTTTTTGAGGAATTTATTTGAGATTTTCTGGTTTTTGTTAATTGTGCAATAGAAAAATAATCATTAGATTAATTTTCTAAATAGTCATTAGAATAGTCGACTATTCGATAAAATAATCGTCAGAATAATCGTTTTAAAAATAATCGTTTACCCCCAGCCCTAGTAAACGCAAATGAATAAATCAACAAATACAATATGCAAAAGCTCCCTTTATTTGGGGTAAAACCACTATGTTATATAGACAATGTTTAAAGAGAGAGAAAGCAGAACGTCCAACACATGGCTTACAATGTAATGTGTAGTTTATGTCCCTGTCACTCTAGCTTCAACTTCTGGTCCCCCTCTCCCAGGACCCCCTGATGACCAGAATGGAAATGGGGAGAGGAGATCCACGCCCTGAGATAACAGCTGACTTTAGGGCCTGAATAAACAGTGAATGTTGTGTGGAATGCATGGGAGAGATCTGTTCTGTTTTGGCAAAATGATTAGATACAGTGATGGTGGATTATCAGTAGAGGGAATATATATCTTCTACTACCACCACACCCCTTAAGTCCAAGAAAGCAATGGATGGTGATACCCAACAAGGGAACACCAGCAGAAAAAATAAATAGAGCATTTGTCTATGACAATGTACAGGGAAATGTTGATGTATGACTACAAACTGGCATGTCTAAACAGAAGGGGTCTACAGGGAAAGGTTTTTGTTACTGTGACAGTAGCAGAAATCAGGCACACCCATGTACCTGCAGGGATTGAAAACTGGGAAACATAAATAGTAAAAAAATAAACACTAAAATAAATATTTGTTTTCTTTTGAATAGAGACATTTCAGTATGTTCTACAATCAGAATGTCTGACTAGGACACTAGCTCAATTCAAAAACATTACTTATCCAGTAAGTCAGCCGCACTGTTAAAGCAGTAATATTTCATTTAATAAAGAAAAAAGACCAATATGACTGGGCAGGATAAGACTAGTGACTAGTCTTGAACACTGTTGCAAACCACTTAAACATTCTTCCTCTCCTGATAACACTTTACTGTCCTTGACATTGAATGTGCTACTACTAGTTTACCCGTTTAATTATAGATTCACTAGGATAAATACAATAAAGTTTATCTCTCACCAAATAGAATATTTACTAAGAAATCACAATGTAACCATAGAAACACTACTTGGTGTGTGTGTGTGTGTGTCTGTCTGTCTGTCTGTCTGCTCTGTGGCGGATGGCTGCTTATACTGAGTCAGGATCCTCTGGAGTTTCTTCCTGTTAAAAGGGAGTTTTCCTCTCCACTGTCACTGCATGCTTGCTTAGTATGAGGATTGCTGTAATGTCACTGACACTAGTCAGTGACTCGATGCAATTTGCTGGGTTCCTTATATAAGAAACTTTTTTATGATTGGCTTAATGAACTGACCTGTATTGGAATGTTTATTCAATTCAATTGAAATTCAAAAATACTTTATTAATCCCAGAGGAATTATGTGAAGTGCCTTGAGACGACGCTTGTCGTGATTTGGCGCTATATAAATAAACTTGAATTGAATTGAATTCTAATTGAGGGGTTGTTATTTACGTCCAAAAAAGGTAAGTATGCCCTTCTGTGAAACTAAGAAAAGGGAGCCTACAAGGCTTTGTTTAAATACAACAATACTCTTTATTTTTCTAAATATTAAAGAATATGTGTTTACAAGAGCTGTACACTGCATATTCTATTTTATGTATGTCAACATCAAGGGAGAGCATGTTAATGGAAGGATCAATAAACTTTATCATATGTCCCACACAGCACTGTAAGGTTTGAGTTCATTCAAAGGCATCCTTTTGCATTTACATGCAACCTGTTCAGCACTGACTCACTGTGATTCAGCAGGTGTGCCTCACATGATGCAAGTTGAACAGCAACAACATGCAATTTGAGGTAAGAACAGCACAGCAAACAAATATATAATAATACGATAATGGGGGGATACCAAGAGTTTTGAAAATTTGCAGACAAAAAATTGTGTACACCATGTGAAATGCATGCTAAACCCTTAAAAAAAGCATTTTGTTTCAGAAGAATGCAGAATCCCTCTACATTTACATAATGACACCTTTTCCAATCCTATAAGTATGGAAACCTGCAGTAAGACTAAATATAAAAGTAACTTACAAGCATGAAACAAAACAAAAATGCATCAGCATGCAAGTTGGTTTCTTGAAAAATCTCTAAATATTTAAGAGCTTAGTTAAAGGGACTTTACGGAGTTTTGAATTTTTATGCTCGCAATTGCCCCCTCAGGCCAAAAGCGTAACGGCAGCTTCAATAGTAGGCTCGTGCACGAGGCGCGCATGCTGTACGTGCACACTCCTTAACGAAAATACTGTGTGTGTGTATGTGTGGCCCGGAGGACAGAGGACAGGAGAATGCGCAGCTAATTAAATAACTTGGTTCTGTAACTTTCTCTTCAGCACAGCCGACAAAGGTTTATGGGTCAGTTTTCCTGCATGCTCAAATCATGCCCTTCCCTTGCTTGAAAAATTGTTCCAAAATGAAAGTTGAACCCACATCTTTTTTTTATCTGTGAATTCAATGCCGTTCGGCGAGTCTCAAAAAAATGTGGGCATCTTACTGTAAAAAAGTATACCATTAATGTAAAAAAGAAACTAAATAAACTATGTTCACACCCAGAATCTAACCCGGGTCTCCTGCACGAGAGTCCGATGTCTAACTAGGTGAGCTACAGCACCATTAACGTCTTTGGCATCTGTAATATTTATATTCCTGATGACAGCTAAAACAGCGTTGAAAGAACGGTTCGAAGCGAAAATGGCTATTTTGTTGCCAATTTGCAGGAAATATCTAGAAGAAAGTAGCTAAGGGTCCTCAGAAATGTAGCTAGGTTCATCACTAGGCGTTAGGAACAGCGACAAAGTCGCTGAGTTGGCACTACCTCACTCTCTGCTGCTAAAGCTACTGATAGCAAGTGCTACAGGCTATGCCTGAGCGTGAACGCGCATGAAGCAGCCTGCTCGACCCGAGCAGCTCTCTTTTTCTGTGATTTCACAGAAAAACAGGCAATCACTGTAAAAATGCCAGGGCTCATTCTACAGGACCAGGGCATTGCAGGAGAATGTATGAAGAAGAAATTTATTATTTCTATACATGTTTTGGCTGTCAAACTTCCATAATGCCCCTTTAACACATGGGCACATTTTCTGATATTTTAATGAACTCTTGACAGATGGAGGCTTGAAAGCATGCAGTTCCTCCAGAAAATGCAATGAAACATTTTCTAGGTCAGCACAGAGAGTAAAACAATTGCAAATTTCATCAAAAGTTGCCATTATTTTGATAAGTATAAAGTTTCACTGACTGTATCTAGCTCTTTTCAGCTTCAGTCCTGCTCTCACAGCCACTTTGCTAAGTCAACATTATTTCCAAAAATACTGCAACTACACTGCCCCGACTCTAAACCTCTCGTTCATCTCTCATGAGATTTGGAAACTAGGTTGTCAAACTACCTGCGACAAGATCAGATAAACCTTAGTCTTGTTAACTGTAACGAATCGTATCTGATGGCAGAGTTTGGCAGCTGTGACGTGAGCATACCAGACAAAAGCATTCATTCTCAGCCTCTGCTAGTTTGCTGAGTCTGTGGGGAACACCCAGGTCAGACACCATTGCTGAGTTAGAGATTCAGTAGATTATAATGAAAGCAGAGTTTAATATGTTTCTGGGGTTTCAGCTTAGCAACAGTGCTGCAGATGTTAACATCATGAAATACTTACCAAGATAGGATCTGTGGAAAACTTGATTTTCCTCTTTGGGGGAGGTTCATCTTCATCCGAGAGGCCAGGAGCCTCGTAACAGTCATCACATTCCCCATAGTTTTGGTCCTCCTCCTCTTCCTCTTCCCCAATGACTTGGTCTATATCTCTGTCATCCACAAACGCTGCATTCTCAATCCCATACACTACTGGAGGGGATCTATCCACCTGCTTCTCTAGTGCACCTTCCTCCTCTACTGCCTCATCCTCGTCACCATAAGTTTCTTCGCCATCCCGATTCACAATAAAACTGTTGTCCTCCTTGTTATCATCAAGACCAAATTCCTCGTCATCCTCCAGGACTCGGCCCTCGTCTATGATGTCTGCACCCCTCTGTGCTTCTATTGTGGCCTCTCGTGTCACAAGGCTTTGTTTTTCAACTGGAAAGCTTCTTTTTCTGTCTTTGCCACGTCGCTCTTCAAATGAAATGTCTTCAATATTCACCTCCTCGTTCTCCTCACTTTCTGAGGACTCATTCTGAACCACAACCAGTTCAGCCCGCACCATGCCTCCCCCTCTGGATTCAGGGGATGAAATCTGGCTAGTTGGTTTGTTTCCTGTAGAGCCAAGGGTCGTGCCATCTTTACTCCTGGCTTTGTCGTTGTACTTGACAGTGTCAGTCTTCTGAAGTCCGCCACTCAACAGCAAAGGCTGTTTCTCATCTGTTGGGGGAGGACTCTGTGGCTTGGCTCCATCCCCACCAACAGATGTCCTACTAAATTTATCACCAGACAAAGAGTTGAACTTGTAGCCATGACTAACAGAGGCTGTCTCCTCTGGAGAATTGAGTTTCTGAGCAGAATCAGTTGTAGAAAATGATTTGCATGTCGGACTGGTAGCCGGAAAAGTTGGCTTAAGTCCAGAATGTGACGTTTTGTCTTTATTTTTGTTGCTAACACCATTTATAGAATCGGCAGCTTCCCTGACAGGAGAAGTAGGTTTGTGTAAGCTGTTTCTTGTTGGAGAGGTAGGCTGTATGTGTTGAGTAGTACTGTGTTGTTTAGAAGACACCGTTCCTCCTTTCCCAGATGTGTTCTCGCCTTCTGTGTCATTCTCACCTATATAATTTTCCAACCTCTTTGATATAGGTCCTGCACTCAGTGACACTTTAGACACATGCTTTTTTTCACCATCAATCAGCTCATCTGGATGACTTTTGGCTGCTGAGACATGAATTTGCTCTAATTTACCGACAGCCTCTGATGATCCTGACAGTCTCCTTGCACTTTTGCCTTCATCTGAGACACTTCCCAAGGACAACCGGTTCACTACTCTGTTTGGAGACTGTTTTTCAGCCACAGCCTGGTCTTTGATGCCCCTTTCAAAGATTTTTCTGGTCACAGAAAACTTCTCTGCCAAAGCCACTTTGTCAATCTCAGCATCTTCTCCCTTGGGTGTTTTATCTAAACTGTTAGATTCTGGGCTTGAGGTACTGTTGAAGCTAACTTTGTGTGAGCTGACTGGAAACTGGACCTTCGTAGGAGACGTCTGGGGAACGTCAGGCTTTAAAATTTGTTTGCTTTCTTGAGATTCAAGTTGCTGTCCATCCATTTGAAGGAAAATGTTCTTTATCTTGTTAACTCTGGTTCCAAAAGGCCTTCCCCTCGCCTCCTCCCGGTTGTCACAAGATCCATTTGTAACCGTTTTGGAGGCATCCTCGGATTTTGGCCCATCAAATGAGCACTTAATGGCGTGGAAGTCTGACTTGTATGCATTTCTGTGAGGGGAGGCACTTCTCAGGGATCTCTCTGCTCCTTTGCTCTCTGCTTTGATCATCTTGTTTATGGCTGAGGCACGATTATATAAAAATCAACTTTTGAGGAAGAACTACTGCAAGGCTTTATGAGACCGGTGCCATGGGTCCAGCGGAGGGGTTTTTCTGGAGCACTGTTCTCTCAATCCAAGCGGAGTCATCTAAAGAAAGAAACGTAATACAGAACAAATACTTTTAATAAGTCTTTCCAAAGACGGTGCTAATTTGTTCAATCAATTATGGAACAAACATAATAAAATAACACTGATTTAACCAGCCGTTGAAAGGTTAACGTAAGGTCGCGTGCACACGTACGTACTTCTACGCATTTCTTTGCAACTCCTAGCTTAAGCTAAAGTTTAACGAAACTAGCTGACCTCAAAAGTAACTAAGTACGGCCATGTGTGTTGGTCTGTAGTCAAACGGTTGCCAGCAGCAACTCCACCCACACATAAAAGAGCGACGCAAAGTTCACTTTAGTGTGCCGACCCTTCACTTTTCTCCCCGACAATTCATTGTGTCGCGTTTTGGTTACAAGTCGCTGAAGCTGTTGACTCAATTACAACAAGCAGATTCGTAAAACAACTTAAAGAACTTTCTCGGTCTCTCACCAAGTCTCCTCATCGAGTTAGACTCCGGAATACGGCTCAGAATTCCGGTTTTTACAGTATCAAACTTGTTCCTTCTTGCTCACCGCCATCATTCCCCGCTCCAGCAGTGTTTCCCCGTCTCCCTCTTTTGCACTTCCAGACCTGCCGCGGGATGCGCGCGCACCCCAGCCCCTCTCCGCGCACGCCGCGATTGAGTGATCGGGAGCGCGCGCACATTCCAGGACTGTACAGTACTACTCCTGTTTCTTACGTGTTTCTCGCCACAACTTCTCCACAGCACAGCCCAGAGACACGATGAATGTCCAGGGAAAAGCGTGGGAACCAGAACTCACCTAGACCTCTGGAAGGACAGGAGTCCGCACCAAGCTTAAATGATTATTTGCTCTGTAATTGTTAAGAAATCAAGTTGCATTCGATAAGGAAATAGTTTTTCCTTTAGTAGCAGCCTCACTGAATGATTGATACTATAATATGTTACCTATTAGGTTCAGCCTTAGGTGTCTCAGTAGGAATAGCCTAAATAACTTGGGTGACAGAGAGCAAATTATGTATTTAAGTGATCTTTAGTTAATGAATGGTTTCATGCATGATATGATACATTCCTAACCTTACCTTGCCCCAGTGTATTGTGCAAAAGTCTTGAGCCATCTCTCATTTCTTTGTATTTTGCTTCCAAAGAGCCAGGCTGTTATAATCTTTAAATTGGTCTTGAGCAATATGTTTTCAGGTCTCTGAAGGTCTATTGGCAGCTACTGTTGGCAAAACATGAACAAATAGGGTTCGTTTAAAACTTTTGGATCATGTTATTTTTGCATCACACTAGATAGATGGACCCTCGGTTCATTAAAATTATATATATAAAGTAAGAATTACAATCTCAAGCTGCTAGTTTCCTACAAATATTAAAGGGAACACATCATGACTATTTTTTCTTAAGTCATAATAGTACTATTATAGATACAAAAGGCATTAATGATGTATTTTTTACTAATTCCCTCTCACATAAAACAATCTCAGATGTTCTATTGTTACCTTCCAAAATGAGCTGTTTCAGGGCTCTGTCATTTGAAGAAAACAAGCTGGAGCTGACTACATCCACCCCTCCTCCACTCAGGCTGCTATAAGCCGAGAAGCTCTGATATCCAAGAGGGGCTCAGAGTAGAGATGCTGATCCTCCGGCAGCAGTTGTCTCTTGCGCAAGACAAGAGTTTTCCCCATTTGTGATGTCACAAATTAGATATTTTTGAAATGGCTTGTTTTGGGCAAATAATTCATAAAACCAAACTCTGAAAGAAAACAAATGGACTGATTTTTTTTCACCCACATTTGGAGTGATTATACAGTAGAGACCTACATGGCAGTAAACAAAAAAGGATGAAAATGGTAAGTTATGTATAATATGTCCCCTTTAATTAATAACGTGTGCCTTTGGAAATAATCATAATGTAATAGAAACAACAGTGTGCAAATAAAGTATAAAAATTAAGTTAACTAAGGATAATTCCATTTCCTGTAAATAAACTATCAACTCACATTTGTTTTGAGTTTTTGTGTAGCATTAAAATAATTTTTTATGTTTCTTATAATATAAGCCAGATCCATCCACTGACTGTACATATGACCTCAATAGAAATAGGTCACTAACACAGATCCTCTTTACTGTATGTAGTAATTTGGAACGCTTCACATTTCTGACTTACAGGGCCAACATTTTAAAACTGAGTACACAGTAACATTTGTATGTGTTAGTTTTAAATCTCTGGATCATTTACCTTTGTTATTTCATCTGATTTAGAAAAAATCAAACAAACTGAGTGACAGTTTGATTTCCTCCGTGGCTGAGAACCTATTTACAGAAATATCATCCAGTTACTGACCCAGGAAACTGATTCTGTATCAGAAAGAAGACGAAAATTTTGGGATGGACATATTTTTATTTTATTGAAATCATTGCTTTCGAACTGCATGAACTTATTATTGAAAACGCGTTGAACACACATTGCAGCTCTTTACAAGCAGTTTTATGTAACAAAATGCAAACAACATAGTAATTATTGATAAACAGGAACCAGGCTGCAGCTAGAGACAGATGGTGATCTATTTAGTAGGCACTTTTAATGAGCACTGTCATCTTTTAGGTAGCCTGAGGAATAGCCTCAATTGTAGAAATAACTGGAAAAATGAAATATGTGAAGTCTAAAGACTAACTTTTTTATTTTTCTTTAAAAAAACACATTATTCATTTAGCTTTATTTTTGCTCATCGTTTTACATCAGAATCATTCAAAGAGACATCTCTGGAAAAGTTTCAGTCTTCAGGCATTTCCTCTGGAGTTATCTCTGATCTCATTCCCTCTGAGACTTGGTTATCTGATCTGTCAAACTTTTATACAGCTTGTTTATGTAAGCTTGTTTTTGTGACTGTACAATATTGCTTTCTTAGGAGTTCTGTGCTCATTTGTTTTATGTAAATCTACTCACAGTCACCCTCTGAATTTAGGGAACGATCTGCACGCTTGCTTTTTAAGTTGCATGCTATGCCTGTAAAGAAAACATTAATTCTCGTGTTGCATCTGCCAACAAGAAACAAGTACGCCCCGGCATCCTTAAAAGCAAATTGGGAGCTTATCCAAATTCTGAGGAACATTTACAAAGAAAATACGCTATATGCACATGAGGGTTGTGTGTGTGTGTGTGTTTACTATTGGCGTCTGCAACAATATCTCTTAGCAACGGAAGGTCTGCAAAGCCACACAGGCATTGGGCTCAGCGTAGCATTGCAGCCAAGTCTGTGGTCCATAGCAACAACAACCTGGAGTGGAAATGTGGAAAAAAGAAGAAGGTGATGTTGTTAGAGACAAGAGTGGAAGCTCTCCTGGTTCAGCCTCAACTTTGAGTCATTCTGCAGTTTGTTTTGACATCTTCAGACTTTCTTGTGTTTTGATCCAAGGCAGCTGGGAGTTAATGGCATGTTGCATTACAGGAATGTGTTTTTTTGCAATGTACATGCTCTGACCTGAACTAGGTCCTTTATTCTTGTTGTTTACCCTTAGCAAGAAAGGGCAAGATTACAATGGGAAGTGCATATTTTACTCATTATGAGAAAAAGAGACATGCCCTGGCAAAGTAATGCCAAATGAAGGCGCAAACCTAAAGGAACCTTCAAGTGAAAACTCACTGAGTTCAAAATTTCAAGACACGTGTGTTTTTTATTCACTTTGAAAGAAAAAAAAATCTGACATATTTAAAAATGAATTTAGCCCCTCCCTCATCAAAAATCATCTTTTTCATTTTCTTTCCAAACACAATGCTGCCATCTTGCTGCAGAGAAAAATAATTTCATTATTTAGGAACCCATTTACAAAGAGAACATTGTGAGGGATTGACTCGTTTGTCCTTCTGGTACTTTTGACAAACTGGCATTCACATAAAACACATAAAAAGATATTCCAGAGAGGTTTTTTTTTATTTCTCCTGATCTGCATCATGTACAGCAAAAATAAAATCATGAACAGTTATTTTTAGTAATACATATATAGGGGTGAAAAAGAGAAGAGGAGGTTAATAACACTTTTCCTCACAATGTTTGTCTGTGCAGACAGCATCTCTGCACCAATCTGCAGTGATTCTGCAGTTGGTTTCCAAGGTAACCAAGAAAAAAAGTGACCCTTTCATTATGTAGCCTCCTCTTACAAAGCATCATTTTCTCAAGGCCATTATGGAAACGTTCCCACCCCAGATAAATTGTCCATCTTCACACACGAGTGCTAAAGCAGCCACCGAGTCTTTAGATAAGGTCCCTCTGACCTCTGATTTCCAGTTTTATTTTAACATCCCGTCACAGAGGTCCCTCTTTCTGCTGATTGGTCACTTTATGCAAGCTCCTTGTTGTCTATCCAGCATGACAGCATTGTCTTTGTTTTTGTTTATCAATCTGTGATTTCATAACTTCAGTGTGAAATGCCTCACAAAAATGTTCTTATGAAGGAATTTAATTTGAATTAAAATACAAGTTTAATCGTGACCACTTTACAGTACGCATATCAGTGCGTCATCATTTATTTATGATTAATAAATATTTCTAACAGTAGATCTGAGCCTTGCTCTGAATCGTTTTAGTGTTTATTTAAACAGTTATTTGGGTTTATTATTAAGTGGAAACAAAACAGGAGTAATAAAGCTATTTTTAAAATGGAAAAAGTAGAAATCATAGATATTTCTTGAAAATGTAAGGAGCAGGAGTAAAATAAAGGTTAGATCAGGGGTGTCAAAAATGTGGCCCGCGGGCCAGATGCGGCCCGCATGCGGGTTAAATCCGGCCCGCAAGATGGTTGTGTAAACTTTATTTTCATACTTTACAATGTAGAGTGAACATAAACTTATCTTTGTGAGCAAGTTTTCTCTGTAATGAGTATAAATAAAACAAAGCTGCGCTCAAGGCTCACACAAGAACTTGAATCACATCCTGAAGTTGGCTGCCACTCAGGATGTGACTTCTGATACTGATGTGCTGGTGAAAGCTAAAAGATGTAAAGTAAAATGAGTCAAATATACTTTAAGTGCTGCATGAAACTGATCTAGCCATGTGATCTGTAAGCTCTTTGAATCACTAAAGAATGTTTTTTTAATTTATTGATTTTTTGTTTTTTTCAAATTTTCAAGTACACTTCAGGTGTTGTACTTGTACTATTTTGGATACACTGTCCTCAGGCTCCATCCTTGTTTTATATTGATTGTATTAAAACAAAGGAAACAATCTGAAGTTGTTTTTAATTTACCGGTCCGGCCCACTTGGGACTAGATTTCCCTCAATGTGGCCCCTGAGCTAAAATGAGTTTGACACCCCTGGGTTAGATACATAATTACTCAACACATTCTCACTCACAGCGCGTCAAAAACAAACACTTGGTCAGCCACCCTCCGCGTCAGACTCCTGACGCAAAAAGTGCCCTTTTTCGTCACTTATGTGCGAAAAGGTTTTTTTTTTCCTTTTCTGACTGCAGCTCCCAATGCAGCGTAAAACTGACGCGATGAGAATTATGTGAAAACTATCCACTCTAAAAAATAAGTGTTGAATTTACTAAATAAGCCAACTGGTTCCACTAAACCTGTTTGCTTAAATGTAAATATCCATTTATTTTTAACATGACAACCTATATTACTTTTTATATTCAACAAGTAGGTTTAGTGGAACCAGTTGACCTAACTTGGTTTAATAAATTCAACATTAGAATTTGTACTTAAGTGAGGAAAAAAAGTATTTGTACTTTGTTACTCGATACCTTTGTTGTTAATTGGTAGTTTGATTTTATAATTGGTCAGAAAAACTTCAAAAAGGTTCAACAGTTGTTCCATAAACATAAAGTTTTAATAATCACCTGTTTAAATTGAATCAGGATTATTTACTTATTTATATTTTTTGCTGATTTTTCCATAAAGATTTCCCATTCAAAATTTAAACTCCTGCTTTACCCGCATTTCCGAAGCGAGTCACGTTTATTTGCGTTTTTTTCTTTAAAAAGATACACGCGTTATTCGCTTTTGATTAATTCCTCCCAGTTGGTCTACATCATTTCCTTCCTGATTTCACCTCTCTGGGGTGATCGGCTCGGTGAGGACGGTGAGGTGACATGGTCTGGTCCAGCCTTCCTCTCTTCCCCTGTCCTCTACTCTACTCTCCTCTCCTCTCCTCTGCAGCAGCGTCAGCACCAGCACCAGGAGTTTCGGCTGAATTACACAATGGTGGCGGCACACGCCTCTTCTCATTCGCCGGAATCTGCCGAGTGGATCGTTTGTCTGGATAAGAGGTAATATTATTGTAGATCAGCCGGCAGCCAGCTCTACTGATGATAAAGAAATAGACTGTCCCTCCGAGCGTGTTGTGCTTCGACACCTGCTGCAGCTGGAGTTCTAGAACTAAGAGCTTTAAATAGTTCATCCTTGATCTCCAAGGTTACCATTCATATTCGGTCGCTCGTGCCTTTAATCGTCTTTATAATAAAATTTTATTATAAGCTACTGCCGTTTAACTTGTAGTTTTTCTTTCCTGTTGCCCATTATTCATTTACATATAATTTCTTCACTTCTAATAAAACATAATCTCCCCTGCAATTGGACTTTTTTATACAGGACAAAAACATGCTTTAAAGAGCAAGTCACCCCAAATCTATATATTTTTTGCTGATAAATTATATAAATGAGTGTCTAATCGTGCTGTAGACATGTGGAGTCAAAAATTTGGCACTTTGGTGCATCTTAGTCAAAATAAAAATATTCTGCTTAAAACTGTCAATGTTGCGCCGTCTTTAGGTAAAAACTAACGATGCACCGATATGAAACCTTTTGGCCGATACCGATATCTGATGTTGATATCACTGTTTGGCCGATAACGATATTTGCAGATACCGGTATTGATGCTTCTAAAATCAGTAGATTTTGTATAGAATAAAAATTATTAAAGCTGAATTTATGACATTATGTACACACACCACACACAGCTACACGTCTGAGATGATTACAATCACTGTCACATGACTAAACAAATACACATCACCCCTTACCCTCTGAAACAGATAAACAAATGGAAACAAGATGGAAAAATATTGGTTGTTAATATTGACCCAGTTTTATTTATCGGACCAACATGATATGTTAAAAAATGACTAACATCAGCCGATACCAATATTGATGTCGATATATTGCGCATCCCTAGTAAAACCTCTGCATTACATTTGAATTGAAATCTGCCATCGCTACTGGCTAAGAGGTACACTATGATGTTATTTGGAGACAGACATACCGCACAGCGGAAGTGCATTTTTAGGACTCAAGTGGTCACGCAGGATGCGCCACTGCGTGCTGCTGAGCACTTCTTGGAAAATTGCGTGATAGTCACAACATCACGCGGGACTTGAGAACAGGAAGTGGGAAGTGACTCTATTGTTCATTTGTGATCAGGCTTGCCGTCGAGTTTTGAGAGACTAATTCATTAACAATGGTTGAGTATGCTATTTATTCGAATATTTTAAGATCAATAGTACTTTAAAGTTATAAAAACTGCGGCTGGGTTTGTGCCGTAAAGCCGTTCCGCCCAGTAATATCTGTTATAAAGTACTCCATAAAGTTGTACACTGCCGCAGCGCTTGAAATAGAACTGGCACTTATCTTCAGCACCTCAGCGCTTCTGGGACGTGGCGCGGTGCTCCCCGTGTGGCCACTCTAATTAACTATAATGGCTTCTGTTTAAGATGATGGCACGGCGCATCTGTCTCCGGTGTGCCCTAGGCTTTGGCGGCTCCACCCTCTCGGTCTGCCAGGCAACAGATGCATTTTTCAAACAGGAGGTGGGAGTGGAGTAAGACTGGTAGGGGGTGACTTGCACTTTAGCTTGGTTAAATCTACAAAACAGCAGCTGCAGCAACACTTAAATAAACTGGATGCTCTTATTAGATTCTTATTCACAAGTTTTTGCAATCCAGATGTTTTTCATATGCCTGAGAAGAACATATGTCAGCATTTACTCTTCTTTAACATGTGACTTAAATGTGCATACCTCCATAAAAATAAAACTCACTTCAGGAGGAAAGACTTGACTGATGTGTTGACAATAAAATAATAAAAGTGCCTTTAAGTAACTGCCCCCAAAATGTAGATAAATAAATAATAATAATAAAAGAAAACCCTGGAGGTTGGACCGATATTTAAAACAGATCAAACAAACAAAATGTTAATGTGATGCGTGCAGGAGGTATGTTAGTCACTGCTGACTGCATAATGAATCTGAATGGTCCATATACAGTAGACTGCTTGAGATTTAAACGTTTTCTGATTTCAGCACAGATAACACACTGTGAGGTATGTTTGAGCAGGTGACCAGAAAAAAAAAGTGTGGGTTTTATAACTTTTAATCCAATATAAACTTTAATCTTATCGGAAGATACATTTGAAATAAATCATCCTGCAAAACACATTTCACAAGATGGCAAAATAATCAGTTTTAAAGATTATTATCTTTTTATACACTGTAAAACTGAGTTTTATAGAAGATTTTGTGTCACATATAATTTAAAAAATGTCCAGATTAACTTCCTGTTTGAAGCAGGCTGATGTGTTTGACTCGGCTCAGGGAAAACAGGGAGACCAGAGGAGAAAAACAAAAAGGTCCAAAGTGCAGCAGCAATTAAAATCAGCAAACTGAGACAATATACCAGATGTGTTTACACAGTAGAACACCTGGCTTGCTCCTAGAAGCTACATGCTCCTCCTAAATCAATTTGCGTATGACTCAGCTTTTCCTTCGCCATCCTCATGTTCTCATTATGTTGCTGAAAACGTAATGGATGATAAGGTGGTGTGCTATCAGGTGAATCTAAACTGGACCAGAAAGTCTCTCAGCTGCATCGTTTCCAGTGAGATTAAGAAGCAAAACTAACATTTTATGAAATGTGCTGCTACTTTTTTTGTTTTATTTGGGTGGATTCTTAAAATACTATCACTCTAACAGTCTAAGGAGCTTTGAAAGAAAGACGTTTCACCTCTCATCCGAGAGGCTTCTTCGGTTCTAAGGTCAAATGGTGGAGAGTCCCAGATTCAAACCCAGTGGGAGTTTCCCCCCGAAGAGGGAACAACCGGGCAGAACATGTTCCCTCTAAGCCGGAAGGGAAAGAGAAGGAACACACACATATAAAGGAATCACTTAAAACATGTGGCTATCCTAATTGGGCGTTTATAAAGTCAGCAAAGTTGCACAGAAAAGAAGACCAGGCACCAGCGAGGGAGGATAAGAAAGACAGACGCAACAACCTTGTCATCCCCTATGTAGCCGGTGTATCAGAGAAACTCAGGAGGGTTTTCTCCAAACACAACATACCAGTGTACTTCAGACCCACTCAGACAGAAACTGGTTCATCCGAAAGACAAAACTCCTAAACACAAACTGAACAATGTGGTGTATGCTGTAGCCTGGCAAGTCAGACTAAATAAATGTATTATTTAGTCTCAGTGTTGCCAGATCCAAAATCCCACAATATCGCACAGAGAGGCCTAAATTATCGTTTTTCAGTACAAATTATCGTACACTATAAATTTGATAATAACGTTCTATAAACGACTTCTCACTCCAATATAATATAACAAAGAAGGTGTTTTATATTGCCCTGTTTAAATAAACATCTTTAAAACCAGTAATATAATGCATATAAACGTGCAGAGTGTGTCGGCACCACTCCGACCTCCACGCATTGACACAATATGCACATTTGCGCAGTCCTATTTATGTCATTTCTACATAGGTTAAACACACGTGACAAAACATCACACCAGTGGAAAAACTGACCCAATAAATGACAAAGCAGCCTACTCACCTAGTTCCAGAGTCAGTTTTTGTAAAAGACACAATAGCATAAACCTGTAAGCACTGAGGTGAAATCTGACTTCAGAACAGTATAAAATTATGTAATGGACTTGGGAAAGCCACAGCAAAAGACGGTGTTACTAGATGCAATGTGAAATTATCGTACATTTGAGGATTTTTGAAACTATTGATCGTACATCGTACATAGCCCAAAATTATGGTACAAATACGATAATTATCGTACATCTGGCAACACTGTTTAGTCTGGCCACGCTCCACTGACGGCTCTCGGTTGTGGGGCGGGTTTTACCGTTGTCTTTCAAATGATCTCCGCATTCCACTGGACAATGAATGTGACATACTCTTGTTTCACTCTGTTGCATCATCCCACCCACCAGGCAAATAGAGTGCCCTGATTGGCCCACAAAGCAGATAAAGCTCTGTGATTTGTTCACTAAGCAGATAGAGCACTATGATTGGCCCACCATTATGGACCAATCACAGCTCTTTATGTGTTTGAAACCCCTCTAGAGAGCTGTGATTTGCTAGCCAGAGTCCTGGTAGGAGCTGCTGTGGTTCCAATGGAGCATGCCTAGACCATTCTTTGCAAAGCAAGAATTTGGTCTAGTTCACTAGGCTAGTGTATGCTGTACAGTGCAGCGAGGAATGCCCAGACCTCTACATCGGAGAAACCAAACAGCCACTTCACAAGCGCATGGCACAACATAGAAGAGCCACCTCCACGGGACAGCACTCAGCAGTTCATTTGCATCTAAAGGACAAAGGTCACTCTTTTGAGGATGCCAACGTTCACATTTTGGACAGAGAGGACAGATGGTTTGAAAGAGGAGTGAAGGAAGCCATTTATGTCCACTGTGAGCAACCATCTTTGAACAGAGGCGGTGGTTTACGACACCAACTGTCTGCCATCTATAATCCAGTTTTGAGATTCCTTCCCAGATGCCTCAACGCCCACGCATATCCTGGGCCATCTGACCTCAGGAATTCACATGATAGGGTGGGGCCAGGCTTCACAATGAGCTCACCCGAAACTCTGGCTGAATAGGACCCACACCCACCCTCACACCTGGGCTCATGTGTTTATGTAGAAGATCATCAGGGGGTCTTTTGTTCCCTCTTCGGGGGGAAACTCCCACTGGGTTTGAATCTGGGACTCTCCACCATTTGACCTTAGAACTGAAGAAGCCTCTCGGATGAGAGGTGAAACGTCTTCAAGCAACTCAAAGAAGTCCAGACGCTTTTCTTTCAAAGCTCCTTAGACTACATTGACCTGGATGACTGAGAACCTTCACAGACATATCACACTAACACATTTGTCTTTAATGCACATTGTGTCATAAAGTAAGTGGTGCTTAAATAATAAGAGGAAAAGCAGAAAAATAGAACTAGTTCAATTCTTTCATCAGCATTTCATTAGAATGTTGTGAATGGTGAATAGCCATAGTCTGGATTGAGAAAACACATATAAATTATAATAATCTCAATAGAATGAAGCCAGTTTTATAACAGTGACACACAAACTAAAGCCTTGTTTCCTTTTGAATTTTTTAATGATTCACATCTTAAAAGATGGGCACTGACTCATAGGTGATGTAAGCTGCCTACATGAAACATCAAGGGCTCTGGGCTCAGACGGGAGGTAGTTTTCACACAATAAATAAGACAACATGCCCTGTGAGATTTTGTGATTGGGATTCTCTGCAACGAGTCGACGCCGTTGGCAGTTTTAGCTTCAAAACAGGTGAAATCAAACATTTTTCAGCCAATTTCAAACACGGAAAAGGTAAAGGTTGCAAGTTCAAAACCCAGCTGTGTGTTTTGCCCAGATGCAAAATTTTCATCCACGGGCCAACACAGACACATCAAAGGGCAACCTTAAGTTTCTGCCAGGTGTGATCGTAAGACTGGTTGCTTGTCTCTCTGTGTCTCTGTGATGGACTGGGGACCAGTCCTAGCTGCCCTTGCCTGGTAACTGCTGTAGATATACATCAGCTCCCTGGGACCCCACCGAGGAGAAAACGGTTTAGAAAGTGAGCGAGTGTGCTGAAATGCAGCTAATCTACAAAAATCACACGAGAAATCTGAAAGTACACAGAAAGGCACACTGTAATTTTTGTGCATAAAGCACTTTATGAGCTCTGAATGACACCTGTCCTGATGATGTAAGTTCTGTTGATCTCTCTCTTCCTCCAGACCAGCGGAGCGCTCTGGTGAGGACGTCGACATAATCCTGGCACGACTAAAGCACGTGAAGGCCTTGGAGGGATTCCACCCCAGTTTGTTGCAGCAGATTTGTTTGTGCGGATTCTATGAGTGCTTGGAGAAAGGGATCACCTGTAGGTCTAAACACAAGCTTTAAACACACCTCTGATGTTAAATTAATAAATATATTTCTCATTCCTGAAACGCACCGCTTGTGTTTTCCAGTGTTTCGCCAAGGCGACATCGGCACCTGCTGGTACGCTGTGTTCTCTGGTTCACTGGATGTAAAAGTGTCTGAAACTTCAAGATATCAGGTGAAATCGCCGCTGTTAAACTCAACATCAGCCTTCAAATGAAAATTAAGCCACCCTGCAGAAATTCTGTTAAAAATGGGCATGTGTACAAATTTGTTGCTGCATAATAAAAAAATGAAATAAACAGAAAACAGAAGTATTAAGTCTTGTTGCACAAGTCTAAATTTTATGTATATTTTCAGAATACCAAGAACCCTAACCCTTCTTACAGCAATCTTAAAATGTGTTTTTTCTTGATTTACATAGTTTGAATAAACATTTTTGAGTTTTTTACCCAAAGACCATCACTGGTAATTTGTCACACATGAAAGCAAATCTGGAAATCTTACCCATGAGTTTATAAGGACAGAAACTCTTCTTGTGAGATGAATAACAATGCCGAACCTCTGATGGCTGAATGTATCTGATTATCGATGCTTTCAGGAGTTCCTCTAACCTTTTGTGTAAAACAGCATTTCTGCTGAATTTCTCTAAACATCACATTTCCTTTTGCTGATGTTTTACCTCTCAGAAACAATAATAACTGAACTCACTGTCTGCTTCTCGTAGGATGCTGTTACCATTTGCACGCTGGGGACTGGCACGGCGTTCGGCGAGTCGATCCTGGATAACACCCCCCGACATGCCACTATTGTCACTCGGGAATTCAGCGAGCTCCTACGTGTTGAACAGAAGGAGTTCAGGTCTCTGTGGGAGGTGTGTTTTGTTCCTTGTGTTCTTTCATAGTGACTGCAAAAGTTCCCGAATGCAAAATCAAAGCAGCATTTAAAAATTCTGCCAGCTAAACCAGTTAGTCGCATTTCGCACAATTGTCACAGCTTATATGGACTATTTTAGTTGTTATTTGTGCACAAAAGATACTTTTCACATAAATAATCCTTTGGAATTCAGTACTTTGTTAAAATAAAATCCCTGAAAGGCTTTTTTTTGGGGGGGGGGGGGGGGGGGGGATCTGCAGACTGTCCGCTAAAACATTTGATTTCTCAACCACTAAAGCAGCAAGAAACATTGAATTAAAAGCTTTATAAAAAGTTAAAGGGGACATATTATGAGTTTTTACTTAAGCTACAACAGTTCTATGGTTGATACAAAATGTGTGTTCTTAAAATACTTCACATAAAGCAATTTCAACAGTTTTATTTTTGACAGTTTCAGTAACTCCCAGAATGAGCTGTTCCTCACTTTAAGAAAACAAGCTGGAGCAAGTCACGCCCACCCCTCCCCCGACTCAGGCTGCTACATGCCGAGAAGCTCAGATATATGGGATGGGCTCAGAGAAAACCCACTGCCGCTTCAGTCTCGAGAGGTGACGGGGGTTCAAAGCAAATGCCCCCAGTTGTGACATCATACAATGTTTGAAACGGCTTGTTTTAGACACAAAATTCCGAAAACCAAACTCTGAAAGAAAACGGATGGATGGATTGTTGTCACGATTAGAGGCAGTACAGACCCAGTTGGCAGCACGGAAGAATGCAAAAGGGGAGTCCTGCATGACATGTCCCCTTTTAGACTTCCATTTAATTTGTGTCTCTTGAATGTGGTGCAGCATCAGAAAGCACACACACTCCTCGTCTGTCACACAGGAAGTAAGAGCTGAGTGGGATGCTCACACAGTTTGCAGATCTTTGGTTCATTATTATTTAGGAGAATTGATGTAAACAGAAGCACTTTTCTCAAACCTGGTTTCACATCAACACATTCAATAAACTATCTTGTGTTTTACTTGGCAACAAAAGCAGACTTAGCGTAACAATTATTTTACACAATGAGAATGGGAAAGTGGATGATTTTAAATGTTTGGTATATACATTCACCACTAGATGGCAGTGCAGCACAGAATTGATGATGGAGCGTTAGTCTGACGTTTGCTGTGTAATAGCAATAAATGTCAGGTGTTCGTGCTACAATACCAGTTACATCAGCGCATCACTGCAGCTATTCCAGCACAGCAGTCAGTGAAACACGAGTGCATAACAGAATAAGAGTTTCAAGGCTTAATTTGCTGCTTCATAGACAACATTTGTCAGAAAACATCCAACCTACATCCTGTATGAAGAGAATTCAGAGTAAATGGCTGCAAACTGCATTTGTTTAAATTTAATATAATATTGGAATTAAACTAAATGCACCATTTGCATAAGACAACCTTGAATAAATGCAGTAAACTTCTGCACTTGACACTCGTGTGGTCCAAAATAATCATTTTAATGCATTTAATCTAACATATGCACACCCTTCTACTGTTTAACATGGAAAAAGTCCATGTTGATGTTTTCCTTATGAGATATTGACGGGGGGGGGGTGGGGGGGTGGGGGGGGGGTCTGGCCATGCTTCTTTGTCCCCAAGCTGAAAATGCTGACATTGATTTGCAGCATTAGCATCCATACATTGGTCTTTTATTGTGTTACTGTCCTGGTTGTATGTCAAGTCAGAACTTTCTAACTTTAGCTTGCTTTCAGCATGTTTGGCTTTAGACAAAGAAGCTCACAGATGGTTTTCCTTTTTTATCTAAATGCAGATTGGATGTTGTTTTTATCTATTCATAAGCTGCAGCTTCATTGGCTGATAAATTCAGCTCCTGCACACTGACTTGATTTGGACTGAACTGGGTTTTGTGATGCATGAAAAAAATTAATCTACATGAGGTCAGCGTTCTGACTGCCACGAGCAGAGAAACGCAGCTTGTTGAGATGGAGAGATGGGAAAAGATGTCAAAAGGGGGGAAATATGTACAAACCTGAAGAATGCTTCTATGCAAACCATCTTCTATATATTTCTCAAAATCTTTAGATATTCCTCAAAATCTTATCCTCAAAATACTGAATGATGTGTACTTCTGCTATTGAAACCTTCACCTTCTGATGTTTCTGGCTGCAGCAGCTGTGATGTTATGAGATAGTTCAGAAAGAACTCAATTACCCAGAAGGCAGGGGAGTGGATTAGGAGGGAAACTGCATGGATGATACAGTAGTGGTGGCTAGTGCTAAATAAAGATCTGGAAAAGGAGTTTTCACGCCTCGTTTGCTTATTATGAGATTAAGCAAGACAACACATGGTGTCAGAAGTGGCCGTGAGCAAGACGAAGGACAGATTTGCCACGGGGGAGCCGCGAAAGACGGATGTAGAGGGAGAGTCTATGGAGAGCGTGAGTAATGGCGCGCTACAGAGCTACATGCTAAAGACCGGTGCTGCATCGTGTGACGCCCGGGAGCGAGGGTAAAAGTGAAGCTGATCGTGTGTGGTCACTTAGAGCAAACAGAAGAGGAATCGGTGCCTGTGAGAGCAGATAGACAACAGTAAAGAGCTGCAGTGATTGAGATACCCCGACGTGCTGCCATGGATAAGCTAAGCCCGCCCTCATCCATGCAAGTGACTGGTAACCTTGCTGAAAACTGGAAGCGCTTTAAGCAGAGGTTTAATATATATTTGACTGCAAGCGGAGCAGGGGGAGATGATGAAAAACTGAAAGCTCACATCCTTTTGCATGTTATAGGGGAAGATGCATTGGATATATATAATAGCTTTCAGCTGGATGAAGCTGATTTGACTTTGGCTGACGTGATGAATAAATTTGAAGAGTACTTCGTACCTAAACAGAATGTGACCTATGAGAGGTACAAATTTTTTACCCATGATCAGAAGCAGGGAATACCTTTTGATCAATATTTAGCAGAGCTTCACACATTAAGCAAATCGTGTGAATTTGGGACTTTGAGAGACTCGCTAGTAAGAGACAGGATTGTCTGTGGAACTGTGGATAATGCACTGAGAGAGAGGCTGCTCAGAGAGACTGGACTTACACTGGATAAGTGTGTCAGCATGTGCAGAGCAGCGGAAACCACACGAGCACAAGCAAAGGAGCTCCGGAGAGGTGAGACGTCAGTGCATGCTCTAAGCAAAGATGGAGTAATAAAGAAAACATTTACCAAACAAAAGTACCAAAAAGGGAAAGCTACAGAGTTCAGATGTGGTAAATGCGGAAGCAGTCACAGACCAAAATCGTGCCCAGCATTTGGGAAATCCTGTAACAATTGTGGGAAAATGAATCACTATGCCAAATGTTGTAAAGCAGCTCCAAAACAGAAAGTTCACACAGTCGATGAAGAAGCAGAGGATGAGGAGGAGTTCATTGTAGATGAAGTACACACCTCTACATCAGAGAAAGAGGAATGGGTGGTGCCAGTTGAAGTTAATGAGACAATAATTCCATTCAAGTTGGACACAGGGGCCCAGGTTAATTTGGTATCATGGGAACATTACAAAGCTATGACAAAAAAGAGCAAAATGCATCCGGTGAAAATAAAAGTCACTGGATACACAGGAGAGAGAGTTCCTGTTAAAGGTGGATGTGTTGCGACATTCAGATACAAAAAACACCAGATAAGAGCACAGCTGCTGATCGTGGATAAGAGTGTACAACCAGTCCTAGGACTCAGTGCATGCGTAAAGCTCAACCTGGTTAAAAGGGTGTACATAGTCTCCACACCAGAAGCCTCGAATGATCAGGATTCCCTCATGGAAGAATATAAAGACTGTTTCGAAGGACTTGGATGTCTCCCAGGACAACATAAAATATGTGTGGATAAAAATGTGCCACCTGTTGTGCATCCCTGTAGGAAAATCCCATTTGCACTGCGGGAAAAACTAAAAGACGAACTGGCACGCATGGAAAAACTAGAGGTCATCAAGAAAATAGATGAGCCAACTGAATGGGTCAGCTCACTGGTGGTTCTACAAAAGAAAACAGGTGCTCTCAGAACATGCTTGGATCCACGGGATTTAAATAAAGCAATTAAAAGAGAACATTTCAAGCTGCCAACCAGAGAAGAAATCATGGCACAGTTTGCCGGAGCTAAGTGGTTCAGTAAACTAGATGCCTCATCAGGTTTCTGGCAGCTGAGGCTGGACGAGGAGAGCTCTAGACTTTGTACGTTCAACACACCTGAGGGCAGATACAGGTTTCTTCGTCTGCCATACGGCATCTTGTCAGCTCCTGAAGTCTACCACAAGACCATTCATATGATTTTTGAGCACATTCCAGGAGTGGAGACCATGATGGATGACATCATAGTTTGGGGAACCACTAGAGAAGAACATGACCAAAGACTGAGACAAGTACTAGACAAGACAAGAGAAGTCAATCTGAAACTAAACAAAGATAAATGTGAGTTTGGAGTGAAAAAACTTACATTTGTGGGAGATGTTGTCAGTGAGAATGGGGTGAAGCCAGACCCAAAGAAAACGTCAGCAATATGTAACATGGAAAGACCAAACAACAAAGACGACGTCAGAAGGTTTCTAGGAATGGTCACCTATCTGGCAAAGTTTGTCCCACAACTGTCAACATTGTCAGCACCTCTCAGAAGTTTGCTTGAACAAAAGAATGAATGGATCTGGTCCCATGAGCAAGAGCAATGTTTTCTAAAGTTGAAAGAGATTCTCACACAAGAGCCAGTGCTAAAGTTTTATGACCCAGAGAGAAGCACCAGGATCTCAGCAGATGCATCACAACACGGACTGGGTGCAGTGCTGTTGCAGCAACATGAGGAACAGTGGTTGCCGGTAGCCTACGCATCCAGAGCTTTGACGAGTGCAGAGACACGATATGCTCAAATTGAAAAGGAGCTGTTAGCGAGCATGTATGCATGTGAACGTTTCCATCAGTATGTCTATGGCCAAACTTTTGAAGTGGAAA